ACTTATTTATAATAGCTATATATATTTTTGAAAAATTTAGTCTCTTTATATAGTAAAGCAAAATTTGTTTATTAACGTTCATTATTAAGCATTTTATTTTCGACTCTAGGATTTCACATCCTTCTTTAGAACTAATTGTAATGTATTTCTCTGATGAAGACTTTTTTATACATAAAAAATTATTACACATAAACAATTATTTATATATTTGCATTATTTATTATTTTATATTTATATATATGCAAAAAATAAAACATTGTAAACCCTATCCCGTTTTATCCAACCCAGGTATGCTAGACGGGATATGTAAGAGTTTGGAAATGAATTTTTTTTTCTATTTCGCAGTCATTAAAATTAGTTTAAAATATGTTTTTTGTGTGCTTCAATAAATGTTGTAGCTACAAAAAAAATAATGTATGGTTTTCCTAAACAGATATTCCGTAGTAAATAAAAACAATAATGGTATCCCGTTTTATCCAACTCTCCCCTATTTATCAAAACTCAATAAAGAGTTAACTTATGAGCTTCTAAGTTAACATCTAAATAGGAAGAATCCACAATGTGCTAGTTTGGAAAAAAAAAGAGTAGCAAGAATTGCTAGAAAAAAATATACTAGGCTGTTTAAGAATAAGTTAACATTAATATCCTCATAAAAATCGATGCAAATATGTGCATAGTTAATTAGAGGTATGACTTTTTACAGTCACGAAGAATGGCATTGAAAATCCTGAGACATTATTGCCAAATGAATTTTATTCCAAACCTCTGAAACTCCAACAGATAGTATGGAATAAAGCAAATAAATCAGTGTTAGGTTTGCAAGTACTCACTCGGAAAATGATTTTAATTTAGAAACATTATGCTTTACTTTCATCAAAAGTCTACATTTTATTCAAGAAATAATAATAATAATTGGAAATAATAATAATAATAATAGGAATTGGTTTTCAAGAATATATTGTAATAAATTCAAAAATATTTTTTTCATTTTTAAGAAAAATTATGTGGTTAGTGGTTGCGATTATTTACGATAGCAATTTGTAATGAAGTACTACTTAGTAATACAGATTCAAAGACATTCTTATTTTTTTATAATAAATTGTTTAGACAATAAAGTAAAAGCATATTTTACTATGTGTTTAGGTGTTGTGGATAATGTAAAAGAAAATGATAGAGATAAGATTATCATTAATGGGTAGTTTGAATCAAAACGTTTACTGGTTGTAGGCGCAAAATATACAACAAATTTTCAAAAAGTGAAATGAACTGTCATTACATATTTCCTTGCAATATTATTTATTTTCTTAAAAATATACAATAACTTTTCAACAAAATATCATTTAAAATATTTTTGATGTTTTTTTAATAAATTATTTATTGATAAGAAAAAAAGTTAATTATTTTCTTCGTATGTTTTAAAAGCATTTAAGTGAGCAAGCAGTAATTAATTACATTTTCTCATGCAATGGCAATTTAAAACTTTAACTAAATTTTTGTCTTAAAGTTTCTTCATTGCTAGTCATTGATTTGCAGACTTCAATCAACAGTTTTAATGTAAAAATTATTAACATTTAGTTAATTATGATATGAATTCCTAATTGACTGAGAATGACATATAGGGTACATGGGTGGAAAAAGATGCAAAGAGTGAACCCATATTATATTGCAAAATATGAAAACATTTGCAGAAGTAAATTGAATGCTGAATTTTATATAATCAATTAAAAAATTGTTTTGTACCAGATTACAGTTACTCTTGTACATGCTATTAAACAGAGCAAATGCTGGGCTGAATAAAGTTCAGCAACAAGGGCTACACTACATGGAATTTAATATATAGAGTTTTTGTATGTAATAATGTAGTACAATTTTACAAAAGTTATTGAATGAATTTTAAAAAAAATATTCAAATGTACTTAATACACGATTCCCACTATTTTAAGAAAGCAAAAATAAAGGACCTTAAAAATAATAGGATTGTTTATCCTCGAATATGCATACATACTACCAGTGACAGTGCCAATTATTGATCTTTCTTGAAAAAGAAAATCAATTAATAAAAAAACAATAAAAGGCAACTTTATTATAATATAAGTACTGATAAAATTGTATTAACTAACAGGACTCGCCAAAGTGAGACCGGGTAATTTTTGCAAACCTAAGTCGGATTTTTGAAGGGGAAAAAAAAAAACATTTTCAGACTGTTAACGGTTAACAATATCTATGAAACTAATCAGTATTCCATCTTTAATAATTTTATTAAAATTGAATTGTAAAATTAATTGGTGAAATCAAGATTTGCAATTTTTTTTCTTCATATATTTAAAAAAAATAAAGAAAGTTGAGAAAAAATTATTACAAGTTTTTATATTGTGGTTTCTAGAAAATAGCTGCCTACTTGTTAAAAGCAAAAAGAGGAACACAAAGCTTGATAAGCTAATCGTGGGAAATTATGACACAAAGTGAAAACAAAATATCAAAAACTAAACTATTGATATAAAAATATCAATTTATAAATGTTTCATGCTGAAAATAATTTTTTGAGCAAACAGTTTTAATTAAATTACTTACTAATAAAGAATATCACATGTTTATAGTAATTAATTCAAGAAAAAACTTACTTCTTACATGAATCATAATACGGGATTTTAAAAATCGAGTGAATATGAATCGTGAAATTGGATTTTAAAAAAGCGAAAATACAAATTACAATACTGAATTTTTAAATCACGTAAATAGGAATGATGATACATAACTTTTAAATCACGAGAATATGAATCACATCGCATAACTTTTAAAGTATCTAAATATTAAAATTGATGATTGATATTAAAATCGTGTGAATGAGAATCGTGATATTAGCAGATTCCGATGGAATTCCTAATATTCAGTATGGTGAAAATCAGCCAAATCAAAGGAATCAAATAGGCAGAAGAATCATAAACGTCTTGTCAATGTGATTTAGCAATAGTTTCAAAATCTCGTTGGATTATAAAGTTTTGATTCGCGAAGCGTGCTAACCAATGGTCTAACAGAATTCTGTGATATTTGCGGAAAAATCACATGTCCTATTTCTCGTTTTTAGACCTGACTTGGGTTGAAAGAAAATAAGGTATAAGGAGTGAAAAGGCACTAGAATGTCGAAAATCAGAACATTTTGGCCTAAAACCGTAGTTTCAAAACAAAGCTAAAAAATTGGAACAAACGCGATTTAATCGGAACAGTTGGCAACTATGCTAGACATGCATCACAAATTTAGTTGTGGACCAATCTCGCTAAATATTCAGTTATGCCGAAAAAATTCTTTCTTTTCTATTAATAAAATGTTTCAAATGAATATTAAAAGAATCGATACTAAAAAGTATAAGACTTATGCATGATAGTAGTTTTCTTAACATGTCATGTCAAATTAAGTCTTATTTCAAGTAAAAAAAGAAAATGTTGGTATTTAAGCACTTTAAATCATTCACTTTTTTGCAATTGGCTTAACTTTTTTTTTTAAATTTATTGAAATAAATATTTTTATGAAAATTTTTATAGAACAAAAACACAATTATGTTCAAAAGATTTATAATTTTCAAACCAATGTTTTTCATTAGTTTTCAGTGAAACTCATAAATGAAAGGTTCTAAAACCATTTTTTAAGGGTATCAACACATTCCTTAGGCAGAAAATTGATATGGTTACTTAATTAATAAATACTGATAAATTATTTAATTTTTAATCATTTATAGACATTCACTTATAATATTTTTTATTATCCTCTATCATTCTTAATATTACTCTCTACTATTATTATGATTTGATATTTTATTTTTATTGTAAATTAACAGTTTAAAACAAAGCAGTATTCTTTTATTATTAGTGGCATTCTCTTATTCTACAATATTACCTTATCAGGTAACGTTTATGGTACCTCAACTTTCATAATGAGGATTACATAAAATTATTTCCAGCCAAAACTGTCATTAGGAATTAACTTTACATAATATTACTAAACAATCTGATGAAAAACATGAACTAATTTTAAAGTAACCAAAAGTTGAATAGAAATTTTAAAAGAAGAAGAAGAAACATTTTAAGTTGCAATGTTAACTAAATAAAATGATTATCAAAATCTAAGTTAGAATTTTATTCTAATCGACACTTATAACAAAAAGTTTGGGATAGATTCTAGACAAAATGCAGAATATATTAATGAAAGAACCAGTATATGAAATAAATATGCCTCCCCCCTTGCTTGTAGCCCCCTTAGACACACCCTTTCTTGTCTCTCTTAAATGCTCTACAATAGTCTAATTCTAGGTGATAAAAGATCAACTTTTTGTTTTAAAAAATTGAACTGAAAAAATTGTTCCCATCAACTATAGTGATGCTGAAAAAATAGAATATTTTTAAAAACCTTGTACCAAAATTAAGTACTTTTAAGAGCCCTTATTTTCCAAAATAAAAATTAAGCAGTTTTTAAGGACTTTTAAGGAGTGTGGGAACCCTGTAATGAGGAGGTCACCCAAGTCTGCACTAAATCTGCACAACACTTGGGTTATCTGTATATGTGATAAAGAAATTTACAAGCTTTATATTATTTAGAACTTACTGTAGAGGTATTCAGAGTATTCTTCATCCTCTCCCAGGCAAGTTGATCATCTTTTTACAGCAAAAAAATTCATTAAAGGTGAATTATTTCAAGAAGCAGCACAGTGAAGATGGGTCCTACAAGTAATTAATATTATGATATAAAGATTGATAAGTATAAGAGAGATTCAAAAAATCAAAACAAATTAAAAACCATGAAAATAATACACAGGCATTAAAACTATGATGGAGCATTATATTTGGTTGAAAGCACATTACAGAAAAATTACATAGAAAAACATTACAAATAAGTATAAAAAAAATTTGAAAACAAATATAACTGAATTTAAAAAAATAAAAAGAGCAGTAAAAAAATTGTCACAGTGATTTTTCTTAAGTACTTCTTAAGCCCTTTCTCATAGGCTGATTTAAATATTTCACACTTTTGCAACGTTTGTTTTTGTAATGTTTTCTGCATGGTATTTTGCATTAAAGATGTTTTAACGTAACTGTACACAATTGTGCACTCTAATTGAAGCTTGAATACAATTTTTAATTTGTAACATGTATTTTTTATTTATTTTTTTTAGTTCCATATTTTACTTAATATCATTTACTAGCATGAGTCACTGCAAGTTTACAAACTTAGAGAAATATTTTACTGAACATACACATGATATTCAAACTATTTAAAATATTCAAACAAATGTAACATTATTTTTTAACTTAATTTTGTAATTTAAAAAAAATAACAAAATTTTTTTAAATTAAATTATACATTTTTTAATTAATCCATATATTTTAATAAGATAAAATTAAACAGGTACTGATATTTTTTGTTTTTAAAATAATTTATAAATTGATTAAACATGTTAAATAGTTCATTTTTAGAAAAGAAAGTTAAAGATAATAAATATTCTATTAAAACCCAAACCATTCAACAGAAAATGGAAAGTCTAAATGCTACACCACAACTGCAGGTGAGCTACAAAGTTTTTCTTAATTTAAAGGTAAATGAACTGAAAGTTTAAAGAGTAATATTCTGCCCTTGGGGCATTTCCTTGTATAACATGCACAATCTATAAAACTTTTTACATTAGGCATTTTTGTGTGCCATAGTTGTAAAATTATTTTTGAACTATTTGCTTTATACTTTCCCCCTATCTTGAAAATAAGTGAATATGAATTATCAATCAAATGTAAANACATCACGATTTGTGGGAAGGGAGATGGTATGTATTGCTTTGAGGCAATTTTGAAAAAGTGCTGAAAACTTTTCCTTAAAACAAGTTTTTTTAAATTTTCTTTATTTTTATTTAACTATTATAATTGATTTCATTTCAGTTTCAAGAAATACAACTTCATTATTTTCAAACGCATATTTTAGTTTATATGAAAACTAAGTTTAGTTAATTTTTTTTTTCGTGGTGTAATAGTTAGGCTGTTTACCTTCTACCAGTGAGGTCAGGAGTTCAAATTTCTTTATCTGAAAAGGTTAATAACTATTTAATAAGTTTTATTCAATTTATAGATTATAATTTTTTTAAAATCAAAATTAATTCTTTTTAAAAATTTAATTTTTAAGACAAAAATTAATACATTTTTCTTTTTGTTTTTTTTTAAATCAAAATATTTCCATTATTTTTTAACTAATTATAACATTTTAATGTGAATTTTAAATTACAAAATTTTTTAACTTAATTTTGTAATTTAAAAAAAATAACAAAATTTTTTTAACTTAAATTATGCATTTTTTAATTAATCCATATACACAGTCCAGTCACATTAATGTGACCACCACCTACTTTCGACGTCAACGTGAAATAACCACTCACAGAGTGCAGGTGGCAGCACATTACAGTGTAGTGTATATATTGGATGTCCTAGGGCATCGAAAAGCATTTCAGTCGTTGACGCAATGCAGAAATGTAGCGATTTATCCGA